TAATTATCGAACATTCGCACACATTATCCGCGAAACGAGGATAATTCCAATATTCCATAATAAATTATGGAAAGTTATTTCCTGCCATTCTAATAGTTATTAATTTTAAAACTATGCCAATCCAAAATATTATATGTATATGTCGTAATTTTCGAACAAACAACTTCAGCGTTTTCACCGACGATTTTTTCCGAACTAAAATTCTCATACTAATCTCTATGTATGTACATACAACGAAAAGTAACGCGGTACCCATGACAGAAAGAGAGAGAGAGAGTTTCGTTGAAGAATGCGATGCATCTTCTTCGCTCGCTCGCCGCTTCATTTGATACAAATGGAAGAATTCCTCCCCGCGAGAAGATGCGGCTGACGTAGAATGAAACTTTCACGAGGCTCTATAAAAGCGCAAGGAATTCTCGAGACGTCGGGCAAGGAATGCCCGTGGATCTGGCAGCGCTGATGGATACGCCTCTTAAGTCCGATAAAATCAGATGCAATGACGTCCACGCTTATTTCTCTCTTCTTTTCAGCTTCCGCCCCGTTTTTCCGCCTTTCGTTAACTTTTAACGGCCCTCGCCCCGCACGAGCCCCCGACACCGGGAGAAAATTGGCGGAGCGCCTTGGCGCTCGTAAAGCCCAAGCTATCCCGGGAAAATGAGAACTCGCGTGATCGCGCTTTGATCACGCAAGAAACCGCGGCGCTGATCGAACGCGGCGTGAAAGCATCCATCAGTGACTCGTGAGATATGGCGAGGTATCGATTCGATGCCGTGCGCGAGATTGTGCTCGCAACGATGGCCGCCCGTTATGTTGCGGCATAAACTACCCTCTCGGTAAAATCGACAAACTGAGTTCTAGCCAGACGATGTTTGCTTCCATCGCTTAATATACATGGCTGTTCTATTCTCGGGTTAATGAAAGACTCCTAAGATAAACGGAGATTCCCGACCTCACGGGTCGATGATCAAATCGATATCGATCACGATTTTTCGGACCATTCGATGACGACTAGATTCGACGACATAATACTTTGCCGATATCTCGACAGCTATCAGATGTGTACATATCAATTTGATGTATAGAAGATATCATGTCAGTGTCGAGCAATTATTGACGACTTAGTAGATATCTAGTAGATATCACATTCAAGTCGAGTCAATAGATGGAGATGTTGATTCGACTTGAATATAATATCAATTGAAATACAATATGATTAGATCGTGGATCTACAGGATATTTTCCAGATATCATAGTAAAATCTTGTAATTATCAACTTGATTATTGATTTGCGCACGATCTCAACTTGATTTCAATATGATATTCATCAGATTCTTCGTCGACTTGCGAACCCGGATTGGCTCTTACTTATTTGAGGTTGTATGGTAATCCGTTGTATTTGCATACCTTCCGAGGAGATTTTTAAGGCTTCGAGTTAACTTCGCCCTCGACATCGACTCGTACTTAATTTTTGCCTTCTTTCTCGCGAGGAACTAGAGAAATATTTTTCGACCGTAATCGTATTCTGTTCTAGAAGAGTCAGAAGTTTAATGGACCAAGCTCGAAGCATTTAAGTAATTATCGATACTCGTCGGATATTACAATTTGTGGATTATAATGCCGAGGCGTTATAACTTAAAGACGGTTAAATTTTAGTGCGACGTATGCAGAATTTTGTTAACATAGCGTGCTCGTGTAATATGTGGTTCGTGTAAAATTTTACCTCGAAAGAAGCCGCGCTCGCAGTTTTCGCGCGCGGTCGACAGTAGAACGAAAGCCGCCGCGTTTCACAATGCTGGCGGTCACGTAAATTGCCGTATAATTATGCGCCGCGCGCCGTGGATCCCCCCGGTTCGGGAAATATAATTACGGCGCGGAATGAGTCACGTGGAAATTCCTGTGACACACGCTTATAATTACCGGGTCTATAAGTCGGCCGAGAAGGACCTTGCGGGGAATTTGCCGAGTTCCGGCATTAAGTCGAACTAACAGCTTCCCGTACATCGGATTATAAAAGCAAAATGCGAGAATATCCCTTTCCGCGAATTACATTTGCGTATCACTGAAATTGCGCTTCCGGAGGGGAGCGAGGAGTCACGAGGGGTCACGCAAATCGACCGTGGGGAGGTTCAAGTAATTTGAATTATTACACCAGGAATAAATTCCTGATGAGTTTTCTCTCCGAACGAGCTCTTATCTTCTAAAGCAAAATCGTTCTTACTGTAACGTTGATTGAACGCTAAGCGACTCTCATTGCTGGCAAAATTACAGTTACTTATTCAAAAATTTCAGTATCCGTGTTCTAAGTATTATTAACGATGTTAATATTAATTATATTAATAGTATTAGTATTAACACATATTAATATTAGTAATATTAACATATACAGTACCGGCCAAAGTATATGATATGATAACAGGTACATCTTGTACACGGAAGGTAATGAAATTTGACAAAGTACATCATGTTTTTCAAATTTTTTATTTGGGCACTTTAAAATTAGTTATGCTAAAAAATCGAAAGGTGATATATTATTGGCCGATACTGTAACTGATTTTTACATATAATAAATAAGGTAAATAATTCGACACCACTGGCAACAGGAAAAGGACCAAAACCCATGGCCGAAACGTTGTGCGAATAAAGGAAATTTTCCTGCTGCCAGTGGTGTCGAATTATTCATCTCATTTATTATAATATTAGTAGAATATCTTAAATTTGGTTTTACATATAAGGCGATACGCAATGTAGAGAAACAGCGAAGACAGAGACAGATTCTTCTGCTTTCTTTTACTTTTTCTACGAATCGATTTCTTTCTTTAAGCCTAGTGAACCGTGACGTCTACGTTTTGAAAGACATAGCATAGCTCAAATATTGTTGAAATTTTTGCCGGTGAGTCATGACGTCGAATGCGCAACTTGTCCGGTCGTTCCCGACGGGAGTTCCGGCGAGCGCGTTCGTCGCGGTCGACAATTTCAAGAAATTGCTGTCCCAGTGTACATTTTCACGAGACTGAAATCGTGATATTATTTTTCACAGCTCTGAAATGGATGCACGGTGTTACATCGAATATATTACTGACGGTATATTTTGTGTCCGCGAATTTTTCGCTGGCTTGTCTGCGAAAAATTTTCAGTTGCCCTGTGGGACTGGATTTATTGTCCGATGTTTGTTTTTGTACGTCGCGATAAGCTCTCGTGATATCACATGTTATATCGAATTTCTTTTCACCGAAATGCGAAGGAGGGGCTATTGATAATTGATTCACAGTCTCTATTTCTCTTTCTCTCCTTTTTTATAATTTCAAAAATTTTCATAAAAATATTTTTCTTTTTTATTCGCTTAATATTAGGTTTGAGGTACTGTAAAAGGGCGGAGGTAAAGAGTTAAAGGGTCTATTTGCTCTTTCACGTAATGTGGTTTTCCATTGAAAGACGCGTCACTAATCATAAATGCACTTGGCAAAGCGATTTATCAAGTATCAACATCAAACCGGTGATGAATTTCAATAGATTTCAAAGAGAGTGGCGCAACTTAAACAGCTTGGCTAATTCATTTATGCGCGTGTTATTAAGCGTAAGTGCTTCGTTGCCAAACAGATGCAGGAGTTAAACGCATAGATATGAACTTCTGGCAGAATTACTGAGCAGGAAGATATTCCCTGATTCTCATTACACGTTTACCGTATGCCTAATGATAACACGTATTGCCCTAACGAGAGACAAGTGTAACGCCATGATTCTTGTTCAGTGATTTTATTACATAATTTGTTACGATGTAACTTAAACTATTGAATGTTATATTAGATCTCGTTACCCGCACAAATTTTTGTATATCGCTATTTTCTGTGAAATTCAATAATAGAAACTTTTAATCTATTTTGAATATTATCTTTCACGCGATTATTGAATACAATTATTAATCTTAATAAAATATTATATTATCTACCAATATATATATAAGTAGTCTATTAGTAGAACCTTAAATGATGCTTTTAAAAGTCCCTACGTACTCTGTAACTTCGCGAGGCACAATCATAACACTAACTAAAATTTCGTTGAAGTTCAACTAAGTAATTATTCCAATTACTCAAGTTTCGTGCCATTTTCGTTTGCGACAATTTGGATTTCTATAGTAGTTTCCGGGGGTGCATCTTAACCTGAATCGCAAATTAGCCATTCCGGAATGCCCGTGGACTTTATAAGCTATTGATTTTATAATAGCTATAACACGCACTTTAATACTTGCGCAAGTTTAACCATCGTCTTGGAGAGTATGCAATATCAGCAAAGTTTGAAGACACTTTATACAGATACTTTGGAAGATATAGATAACCATTACTACTTACGTGGTAGAAGTGGAAGGAATGACAATATATAACGTTCCTGTAGATTCATACTCGCGCGATCATGCCACGAGAGAATTGGTGGCAAGGATTAAATAAAATAAGATTCTTATCAAAAAAGTAATGTTACATTATAAGGTATCTTTATAACCAATTTTATTCTTCAATTTTTACGCTTATCGTTTTTACCCTACGAAGAATTTCTGCAGCGCAAGAACTTCTGCATTCTCATTTTTTATAGGAATGTTTATTATCGATTTTTAAATTGTATTATTGTTTATACGGTAACCTTAGAAGATATTCAATTGTCGCTAATTTCCAGCTATAACACGACTGAAAATTTCCGTAATAATGCCACGATAATAAACCGGGTTAATTTCATCTTCGAATATATTTTGATTGACGAGACAAGTACTTGCTAATTACCATACTAATAATGTGTATCATCATTTCTATGATCAGAATATAGCCAGTAATTATCGGCTATTGTAACAACAGGCTCTTTGATCACACACGTCAATAGCGTCAAAATTGTCCGAACATGCTCACGATATTGAATTATAGTCCAACAATTATAGTTAGCAATGGAATTCCATTGACTTTTTGTAGGATATTTTTCTACTTTTAACCCATTTTTTAAACGAAAGGCTGACTTACCACATCGATGAGCTGCGAGAGCTTAAGCTTGATGCAGACGCGCAGCACGTCCGAGGTGTTGACCACGGGGCGCACGAGTTTGTTGTAGTTGGACAGTAGATCGTCGTAGAGGCGCTTCGCGTCCGGATTCCCGGCAACGGCTCCGTGAACGACCAGCGCCGAGAGGAACCATACGCGCAGCGTTTCCCCGATTATGGGGGGCATCATGGTCCCCCGATTCCTCCACTGTGAACGACACGCCCGGCCCCTTTGTACCCTCTCTGCCGCGCGAACCACGTATCTAAGTGAGAAGATGCAGATCAGCCGCTGTGTCCTCTCGAGATTCGCGCGAGGGAGCACCGCTTGGGAACATTCGTCGCCGCCGATTTTGTTATTTAGAATAAATTACAGTGCTAATCGACGTACATTTTATCATTGATTCTGGAAATTAATCAGCCTTAGTAAAATTCCAGAATTCGTATCTCTCGCAGCTCGTTAATTAATTCTCGGATTTAACTTCTCTGCAATTAATTCCAAGTGGAATCTTATTATTTAGGGAAATTTTCACGTGAAATTTAATTAGAGTCGTGAGAAAATATACGGCTTCTCGTCAAAGTTTTTTTCCAAGACGGAAGTAATTCGCAAAATTGTCTGAGATTGTTTAGGCGTGAGGGAATGCATAAATCCTGCAATGCCATGTTACACCAACACATAAGCGAGACTCCAAGTTAAGCCGCTGTATTACACCTTGCTAGACTGTACTTCGTTACGTGCAATTCCCGGTGTATAGTATATACCATAGACTGGCGAACGGTACAACTTGGTCCGCGGGCGGATTTATGGGTGCTAGTAACGAGTTGAACCCTCTCTTCCTCCCCGCTTCTCTCCTCCCTGAGAGTCGCGCAAAAAATTTCGTTGCTTTGAATATGAAAAATAATGTCGCTCGGTGTAAAATGTACATTTTCGCCTGAAATTTAATTTCTGAAAATGCTACTCTCCCGATTCTTACCTTTTATTCCCTCGCTAAAGCCACAGAATGCTCGTGGCCGCGGAAGATTTACCCGTTTTTCGCGATGAATATCACGGAGGGAGCTCACGGGGATATTACGAGTGTGCGACGGTAATCGCGACCCCAAATGTAACTACGGCGATACGAGCAGTAAGCCGGAAGCGCGACGGCGAACGATCCTGTGATCGCGAAGCGCGATGCGTAACGACGTTAAAGTGTTGGGGCGGAATCGGGCCGATTAACGGTAAGCCGACACTTGGCATAGTGCGGGCGTTGATTTTCGACGCGCATTTGGGCGCTAATTCGCGGCCGCAAATCGCGCGCCGTCATGGATTGAGAATTGATCGCGCGTTTCGAAAATCGCCGGGTACTTGGCGTTTCGTCCGTCGACCGGAGTGCAGGGGAGTCGGAACGAATAGCAACGGCCAACCACGTTATTACGCGACGATTTCATCGTGAATGCTACGGTTAAGCGAGTTAGCTGACCAATTTTAAACTCGGGTGAAATGGATTTATTCTCTTTTCTTTATTACGTAACAAGGATGTTGTATGGTAGAATTGACAATTGCAGCAATTCGGCGAGATGCCCTGCTTTTAACGCTTTTATCACCAAAGAGGAATTCGATAAAGAGTTACTTACATATTACCTTAGGTCTGAAGAAAGTTTAACTTGCAACAAATAGATGATTTAATGTATAATAGAATAATTAATAAGAATAATGTGATGATAGAATAATTGAATGCTAGATTTTCGTAAATTGTACGAGTTAATCTTGTATAATTGATTAATTCTTTGACTGCACCGTTATAAAGGTGTAACGTGAAGGAATAGTTGAGTATATAATAATTTATAGACATATTCAATGTTGCAACAAAGTAAAATCTTAACGTAATTATTCTGCAATTACTACGAATGAAGCCCGCGGGAATATTTACGACTAGAAATTTGTTATAATAAAAAAACTGGGGGAGAGACACACATTTGGTCTACTTTCCACTCTCCCCATCTTTGCATACTCTCGAGACTTTAATATATCCTGAGATAAGAAAGAGCACGAGTTTATATGCGCATTTACCTAATACCATTATGCGACAAAGTTGCTAAGCGAGATAATAGAACCGCCAGTGAAACAATATTTTAAAAGCTTCCGTACTTTCTGCGAAATTTTTTCTATTTACGGAGGAGACAACTGGCGCCGAGATGTCACCCCTATGTAACTGGTATAGCAGATACTTAACCCAAATACGGTTTGCTTAAACTTTTTGGTCCACTTTCAAAGAAAATATTTAGAAATCCAAGTAAACTCAATTTAGTTTAGACTATTTAAGTATGGCAGTCTTATTCGCGTAGAAATTTTTTAATTTGCAAATAACAGTGGGCTATTATTGACGCGGTGGTGTTTGAACGCTAGGCGTTCAACTACTTATCATTGTTGCCAGTCGGACTTTTACGTGAAACAAGGGCGATCGAATTGTTACTCCAAGATTCGCTGTTGTTTGAATCGAGCAAGCGGTTCCTCCTCTGTCAGGTGAGCGACTTGGAGACCGTAACTCATGTCCACGTCGACGCAGTCGTCGCAGTGGCCGATACGCGGGGTATTAACGACGGGAATTTACGTGAGTACATACGCCCAGCGACGAGGAAGGATCGATCAACGCCCTGGTCTCGCCTCGTCTGCCACCGCGCGAATGTCTAATTGCTGTTGCGCCGCTAACTGGGTCAACGGTATATTATTTCGGATTAGCGAGCTGAGGAGAGACGACCTCACGACGTTGTCATCGGGCATCCGTCTAGACAAAACTGGAATACCCTAATCGATATTAAAGTCGCCAATGTCGAGTCTGACGGTGCTGAGTCTGAAAACATTAAGTCTTGATCTCGTAATTTTTCAATTCCTACATTTTCCGTTTTTCTAAGATGCACGATTGAAATAATTTTACAACGCGCGCTAGTATGCGCTAACTGTAGAAAAAGCAACGAGTTAAAATAACCGGCTAATGGTTCGCATAGAGTTTAAATACTTGTAAGTAAGGCACACCTGTCTTTGTCGCCATTATACGAGAAAATATTTTATTAACCTATCGTTTCACGATTAGGACAGATCTGTCGATTGATTCCACGGTGCGTATAATCCGCGTCGAATCGAACAATCCGAATAGATTTTAAACAGCTCCACGATTCAGCACAGTTCGCTCGCTTTCATTGCATACCTCTCTCGCGTTTCCCCTTTATTTTTCTATCGAGAAAGTAAATTACTTTATAGCGCCCTTTGTAATCGCTCGAGCGCCTCCGAGTAAGGATCGCTTCCAGTGCGCGAATTCGATGGAAATCGAGACAATGAACTCGGTTGGCACTCGATACCGGCTATAAGATTAACGATCGGAACAGGCAGTGGCTTTTCCTGCGCTCTATTTGCATTTATAGTGCAAGGCAATCTTCGAAATCAAAATTAGAATAACATCAAGAGATCGATTGTTTAGCGCCATCGTTTTAGTACGCGATACAAACATTTGTTCCATTAAACTTGTCGGTTAAAATAATTATAACTTCAGAAGATTGCTTGACCGTGTCTGGCAAATTTTTATGTTTAAACTTACAACGTTTCGATCATGGTCCTTCTTAAGTGATAATTGTGTCTATAATTCCCTAAATCAAAAGCTATATATACGCATAATTGAAACAGATCATTTCGCGAACGGCCAAATATTATTGAATTATGGTAAAATAATTATGGTAGGGCATATTATACCTCGTAATAGTTATTGTACGTGGATATATTGTTTTCATTTGGTATTTCAAATAATTATGACGCGACATCATCTCGGTTGCAGTGATACACGTATATTTCGCGCGGTATATGTTGCGGATTAAAAAGTTATCATGTGGAAATGGCACGTTGTTTTCGGCGACGTCTATCTCCGAAACTATTTCAGCCTCGACAGAGAGGGTGAAACGCGGTCCGCGGAAAATAGAATTGAAAACATTTTGATCGGCCACACCGAGCCAACGATCGCAAAACCACGTGAAGTTTCTATTCTTGACAATCCATTAGCTCTCTCGGCTGAAAAGGATTCCACGGTATCGCACACCGTAGCATTCGATTCGGACGCATAATTGAAAAGAGCCAGAATGTACTTTGCTGACGATGAAAATTTAAACGAGAATCTGTCGATCGGGTCAAAATCCGTCAAAGCTCATGGGACTTTTTACAATCTACTATTCCAATTATTAAATATAGGTCAAAATCCGTCAAAGCTCATGGGGCTTTTTACAATCTATTGTTCCAATTATTAAATATGAAGTGCGTTTAGCGTAGTATCCGCGCGTTAAAATGTCAAATATTTTACTTTTTTTTTTAGAAACATATCGCAAAAGGATTGCACTGATATAAATTTTTACATCATAATGATATGTATTGTAGTTAAAGAATTATTAATTACATATTATCTCGTTCCTTTTTCTTTCTTTCTTATAAAAATGTTTATTGAGAAAATAATTGTTTTACGAAAATTATCAAATAATATTACAATGAATAAAAATAAAATAGTAAAAAGGCGTGAAACAAACGGCAGATTAAATTGTACATCTTCGATACGAGACGACAGGATACAATCTGAAGGATTCCAGAGGGATATTGAAGTTCTTCGTGAATGATATTCAGGATTAAAGCGTTTATTAAACTTCGATAAAAATCGTGGCGCAATTCCAATTCGAATACCGAAAATTCCGCATGCGGACACAATGGAGAGAATTCCTCACGGAGGATATTGAATCCGTCGTGCAGAAGGTGCGGGGAAAAGCGAGAAATAATAAAAAGAGCGCCACGCGACATCGCGTGTCCGGGCAACGAAATGTTTCGATAATCGTCGTATCTAAATGAAATAATTTCACGACGGTTTCACGCCGCCCTACCGCGGAAATCGCGCGGATCGCGAATCGCTCGCATCTTTCCGCCGCTACGCTCCGCGGCTCATGCTTTCTGCGATTAAAGTTTATGAGAATTTAGATTAGCGTAGCAGCTGTCGAGAGAGCGCGAACCAGTCCCGCAACTTCGCTCTAATTACTCGCGATTATATCTTACGCATGTTTGAATCTGCACGATAAGTCTCAGAATTATTCATGCAAATGCGAAAATTGTCTCTATTAATTTTCTCATCTCTTATTTCTTCCCGATTCAAATTTATTACGTAACACAAGTTCAATCGTATTTCTTGAAAAATATTGATCGTACGGTTTGCGCGTTCCGCGACTTTGTTGTCGCTATAGCATCTTAAACTTTTGCTGAAAATTAGTGCTAATTCGAAACTAGCAAAAAATATATTTGCAATTACAAACAATTATGGATTCGTACACTGAAAACAATTAAGAATCATTTACGAAATATTATTATACAGCTTTTGCAGAAAATTATATGTTACGGAAATCGAGATATGCAAAGCTATTTAAAAACTTTCACTTTCCACCCTTATTATTTACATAAATTTACATGTACGTAATATTTTTTTAAAAATTAGTTACGAGAGCTGTTATCAACATATCCCCTAAATTCCACTATGAAATCCTCTTCATGGTTATTTGCACGCATATTATTATAGTAAACGCGTTTCCCCCAGAATTTCTATTTAATTTTTGCGTACTCTCGTCTAAAAGGGACAACACAATTTGTACTCAAAATCCCGCGAAATTGGCGTTCTGTCTATTTTCCGCCACTTAAGCGCGTGGCGAACGCAAAAGACTTTAGGACGCCCCCCCGGGAGAGATGTGCATCACGCCTACCGGGAGCCACGTAGCGTCGGGGCGCCCGGCGAACCCGGTGATTACGGTCGGAGACGGGGGAGTCCCGGGTGCCGTCGTTCCCAAGCGGTGCCCGCCGCGGGCGACGACAACGACGACGAAGAGGGTGACACTGACCTAACTTCGCGCGCACTCCAAGCCACGCCGGTCTCTCGCAGCAGCTCTCGGGACCGCTGCACACTCGCACGCACTGCACCCACGACTGAAGGTGGTCGTCGCGGTTCGCGGTCGACGGGGGTGCGCCGGGATCTCGATCGCTTGGAGGCGCCACCGGGTGCGCACCACCGAGCGCAGTGTGAGCCCGCGGGAGAGACGGGCGTCCGCGGGAGGGTGATCCGCCGACGATGGGGTGGGATTCGCGATGGAGGAATCTGGACCGAACTTGCGCGTACGTTTGTGCACGAGGAGACGAGCGCGGCACAGTAACCGCGAAGACATCAGCTGGAAAAAGCGCTCCGCCTGCGCGGAGGAGGGTGGCAAGAAAGTCCCTCCGTTGAAAGGGTTGAATAGACTTCGATTTCGCGGCATGACGAGGGATCGATCGCCGCGACGCATGATTTTCGTCACCGGTCTGTCTGTTTCCAAGAGGCCTCGTACAAAACGGATCGGGGATGATTGTTCTAAAAATTGCATTGACAATAAAAAGTATAAAATGAGATACATACAATATTCAACAAGTAATCGCTGTATACGTAAAATAAATGAAAATTAGGGAAAAAGGTTTAAGTTCCATCCGTCTAGAAAGATATAAAAATTACTCGGCTGCTTTCATTTCAAAGGAAAATTAATAAAAACTTTCTGCATTGTTTTCTCCGGATTATGTGTTTTTAATCTTTTATCCACAAAGCGAATGGATCTGAGTTTTATTCTTCTCGTTTAACAAAAGTGGATTTTTTTGCGAGAAGTAATGTTTTATTTGGGTCGTACAATTCAGCGCGCTATCGTTAACAGGATGAAGCAATTGTCTTGTAACATTAATTGCTTGATTTTTCGAGATCACGGTAAAACCTCTCTGAATGATAAATCCTGCTATAAACATAATGCGAAGCGATTAATTGTATTATTGCCGCTCGGATTATCTCGCTGAAAAATTGGCTAGTTTACAGCAATGTCATCCGGCAAATACCTAAAACAAAAATAACGCTTGAGTTTTACATGGAGACCATAAATTTTCGTAATCTATCTCCAGTGAGAAAGCACTTTCTTTCATCGTATCAATATTCTTCTATGAATAGTGATCTATGATGCGGCAGATATTTCACGCAAATATCTCAGTAAAAACGTCTTTTGGAAGTAACGTAAAACAAAGGTTGCCTGAAAACCTTAGACTAATGAAAATGACGCGGAATAAAAGTACGATCTGAAAAAATATAGTATATGGATTTTTATCTCATACGTAAACAATATTTGCAAAATGTATTAGCTTCTTGCGTCAAGTATGTGAGAGAGAATTCAGCTTTCGAGCTTTTGTTAAAATTGGTTTAACCATATTGGTTTAACCAATGCTTAAATTAGCTGTACCATTGTATAAAGTTGTTTTCGTATCCCTTACAAAATGTACGCGTATCTTCCCTTGAATAAGCGGCTAGTATACATATAACGATATTGGGGAGATACGCGGCTAGGAAATACGGATAGTGCAGGCCGGCCTCGCGTGAATTTAATTTAGCGTCGCTCATGAACCTAGTTCGCTATTTTATGGCGTAGACCAAGCTAACTCTATGAAAAGCACCGGGAGCAAGGCAACGGGTGTTCCTTAGCTTGAACAATGGATCGGTGGCATTGTATGGCGGCGCATTAACCGGCATACCGCGACGATCCCTTTAAACCTCCGGTACGAAACATCCGGCTTCCGGCAACGTGCCGACATATTGATGAATTAAGATTGCAATAGCACAGAGAAAGGGAGAGAGATAGAGAGAGGGGAGAGACAGAGGAGGGGGAGGAGATTTGCTTGGTCTTTGCAAGTCGAAGACGAGCTGGACCGAGCAAAACAGGCGTAGCAGAGTGAGTCGTCTCGATTCGGAGTAGCTCATTTATCACCGGACTTTGAACGCCAATCTTCCTCTCGGCAAATAGGGGAAAAAAAAGCGAGAAACGAGGGCGGCGGCGGGGAGCGATGGATAAAAGGGACTGAGAAAGTTCAGCGCGGGTTGTTTGTCAAGAATTAAACTTCCTCCTTAATTCAACCGACGGATCGTTATGGGCACTTCAAACGTGCCCCAGAAATTGCCGGATCAATCTGCGCTGCCTCGCTCGTAATGTAGATTGAGATCTCTTTCTTAGTTCCCTTGTTAACTTTTATAGGCGTCTTGAGGGGTTTCTTCATAGACGGGGTCTTTTTTTCCAGAAGAACGTTTGACTTCCTTTTGAAATACACAACAAATTAGAATAGTTGCCTCCAAGAGAGGAACAATCGAGCGACGAGAAAGGGAGAGACGTGTCCTAATTAAGAAGCGAATTCCGTAACGTCATATTCTGAAATTTAATTGCCATCCGTATTATGCGAATTGTTGGAGGAACGTGCCGCTTTATCCCGAAAGGTCCCTTTCGCATCTATTCACGAGATGTAAACTTAATTCCGTCGCGGAAAGCCCCAACGACAAAGGCGGTATCCCTATCACCTCCTCTTTTTACCAGGCCGACGTATTTTTCTCTTCGCCCATTGTGCCGCATTACACATCGTGTGTCGAGCGATCGGATAAACGCGAGGAGATGGAGGTAGGTTGACGTGGGAGCTCCATATTGAAGGGGACTTGGCAAGATTCCAATAATCTCCTTGGATCACCACCATCGGTGTTATCTACCTACGCCTCACGATTTCGGCCTCAAACCGGGCAACGTGAGGTCGCCTGACCGATTTACCGTTGTCCAATGTGTACACGTCAGATGCGTATGTGTGTATACGTGCACGTGTGATCGAGTCGAGCACGCCGGGGTGAAAAATGTCAGCTCGGCGTCACCGGAATTAGAATCTGGGGAAATACAAGCCGGAAAAATACGCGATTGTGCCATCGATCTTGCGCCCGTGTCTACTTATGATACGAACACTCGCCGGCATCTTTCTCTCTTTCGCCCTGTCTCTGTGGGTGTGTGTGTGTGTGTGTCTGTGTGCAAACGCGATGCAAAATGGAAATAAATCTGTCGGCGAAAGCAACCGACTATACTTTCGTCCAAATTAAAGTACGCTCGAATTAAATGTCGTACGCGATTGGGAAGAAAAACATGTCGGATATTTTATAATTGATTTCCCATTTCTCGTAGCGTGAAACTTCGCGGAATGAAAGGAAAACTAATTAAGAATCGAATAAAACGATAATCTTCGTTCGAAACGTAAAAGGTTCCAAAAGAACGTTTGACTTCCGTTGGAGTTGATAGGGATACCGACTTCCAATTATTAGAATCGAAGATGTAATTCTTGCGCGCGTTGAAAATCTTGTACGATATCATTAATTTTCGACGGAGTCGACAATGACCAGTGATAGCCAAAATCTCACTCGCAATACAAAAGCCACGCTGTGAATATACGTACTTTGAAGTACGTGCAAGACGGAACAAATTGAATATTTTTTAAGAAACCCTCGCTGACCTGGTAAAAGTTAGATATTCAAGACGACGGAATTTTAAGCTAGCTCGTTCCCGGCGCAGAAACTTGATTGGAGTCAAAGTGTCCTCGATGAAAATTACCTTCGTATTACCGTCGAGATTTTGCTTCGTATATGTAGTCAAAGCACTCAGCGGATACGCTCGCGAGCACAGAAGTTACTATTAATTTCAAGTCCGACGCAGTTCGCGATGTTTCAGCGGCAGGAGTTGACTCTCAGTTTAAATCGAGTTATCACTATAGAATTTCCAAACTGTGATCCGGCTCTCTCCGAAGCCACAGAGACGGGTATCCCTTTTATTACCGGCGAGTTCGAACATGATAATCCATGATGTACTGCCGTCTCTTAGAAGGGAAAAGATTCATTAATTACTTTTTATGGATGAAAACTGGTAATTTGTCGATAAAAAACTGACTTTACACCGATTTTCTCAATAATACAAATTATCGAACGAATCAATAGACTTTTAGCACACTGACACACATACACACACACACATTCGCACACTCGCGCGCGCGCTAATTGAACAAGTGTTCTTTCTACACTGATAGAAAAATATATAGTTAATATAGTATTTAAAACTATAATTGCATAGTAAAATAATTATTGTCAGAAATAACATTTTTATAGTAATTATTACTATAATATTAGTAATAGCAACCATTACACACAGTGATGCCAACTATTAAAAAAGTTTACTATAAAATATAACAATGGATCCGTTTTTGTTTGGCACTGGCACTTGTTTAATAAATTAAAAATATAAATATAACGTGCGACGTTTCGACCACGGGTTTGGGATCAAGCACAAATTCTTTAAAATTAATCGAGTCATTTCAATATGTCATTGAACGGTAAAGAATTATAACAAAGTTGCATGGACCAATATTGTGCCTATGAGAACTATAATACATTGTTAAGTCAGCCATAACTTACGTAGTTGGAAGAATTATAAAAATTTGGTTGGCTCCTAAAATGACTATAAATTATAGTGAGATTGTGGCAACTGCAACCATTTTTTTATGTCAGTGTAGAATATCTGTTTTCTCTAATTGTATATTAGAAATAATTATCGCTGCAGATTCTATAGTTAGGTTCCCAAACAACACGTATGGCATCTTTAAGATGTCTATACATAATTATCTACACATAATTATGTGATATTTATATCACTACAATTATTTAAATGTAATTAACAATAAGTATTGCAAGAGTTACTTTGGTCCTGATTTAAAATTTCATTTAGAAAGAAAGAAGATAGAAATAAAATAAAACAATAAATTTTTAAGATGGCTTTTAGACATGCGTGCGGTATAGGTTGTTTTGTATTGTTATTGTACTCACTGTGCAATATATAAGATTTAGCTTTGTTTCGCTTACCGAGGTAGAATCTTCCCCGAAAGTTTCGAGTTTTGTTTGATAGCTCTTTCGGGCAAATCTGTCAGAATCAACAGCGGCCTCGCAAAACGCGAGCTGCTTCCGCGGGAAAGTGCGCTGCACTCGATGTTGATTCAGGTGTCTGCCTTCAAACTTCGGCAAAGAAGAAAATATCTCCGTCAATATGTGCCCCTACAAATAAAATT